GGAAGCGAATACAATGGAACAGGCAAAAATCTCAAGGCAAAACTGCGTGCTAGCCTGAAGAGAGACCGCAAAGCCTGGTGGTCTCATGGTGCATGGGAAATGGAAACAGCCGCTGCCGTTGGTAATCATCGCAAGTTATTCAGTCTGATACAGGAAATAGGCAGCAGGAGACCTGGTGTTAGCGAGACAATACGCGAGGAGAGTGAACAGCCGATTCACAGTTTGTCAAAACGCTTAGAGCGTTGGGCCGAACACTTTGCAAGGCAGTTTAACCAATCTGAGTTGTCGCTTTCTCTTTCGGATATTGAGTGCCCTTCTCCATAGGCCATCTCCTTAGATCCGCCCTCACGCGCAGTCGAACGTGACATCAGACTGTTGAAATTGCATAAGGCCGCTGGTGCATATAGAATTCCCCCAGCTCTCTACAAATTCGGAGGACCTGCTCTTGTGGATGATTTACACGAGTTGCTAATGGAAGTTTGGGAGTAGGAAACTGTCCCGAAAGACTGGAACCGCTCTGGTATAGTCCCAATTTTCAACGGAGGCTCCCGTTCGGAATGCGGTAACCATAGAGGGATCAGTCTGATCTCAATTGCCTCTAAATAACTTGCCTCCGTAGTTCTCCACAGACTGACTGACGCTTGTGAAGGCCAGATCCGCGAAGAGCAAGCCGGATTTCGTCGAAATCGAGGCTGCATTGACCACATCTGCACTTTGCGTCAATTGTTGGAGCACCGCCATGTTTATCGGCGACCCACCGTTGTCGTGTTTCTCGACAACAAAGGTGCCTTCGATTCAGTGAATCCAGGTGCCCTTTGGAACTATCTGCTGAGAAAAGGCAATCCCGATAAATATGTAAACATTATCAAAGCGCTGTACGCGCATAGTTTGGGCAGAGTATGGGTTTATGGCAAACTGTCGCCACCCTTCAATATCTCCAGCGGTGTGAGACAAGGTTGCCCGCTGTCACCTTTCCACTTTAACTTCGCTATTGATGAAGTCATGGAAACAGCGTTCGCTGGACACGACCTAGAAGGTGTGGAGCTACTTCCTGGTGAGCGACTTCTTGACTTGGAGTATGCGGACGACATTGCCCTCATATGTGACAGCGCCCAAACGTGCCAGGCTGCACTGGACCGATTAGCACTGGCTGTCAATCGTTTTGGGCTATGCTTTGCTCCATCGAAATGCAAAGTTCTTCTCCAAGATTGGCAGGGACCCACCCCTGCGCTGACGCTTGGTGGTGATCAGCTAGAAGTCGTTCAGGAATTCAAGTACCTGGGCAGCTATATTAGCGTCCGTGGGATCGAAGCTGAGATTACGAACCGTATAGCAAAAGCTCGAGGTGCTTTTGCCAATCTCCGCCACCTGTGGCGCAGACGCGACATCACTCTCTCCCTGAAGGGTAGAGTGTATAATGCAGCCGTCCGTTCAACCCTCTTATACGGTTGTGAAACCTGGCCCATCAGGTCGACAGACATAAAGAGGCTCGTCACATTCGATCATCGCTGCCTTCGCAGCTTAGCTCATGTCTGGTGGGAGCACCGCGTGAGCAATGAGCGTGTTCGGTGTCGTGTATTTGGTGCAGGAAGAGCGAGTGAACCGCTCAGCACCATTATATCACGCACCAGGCTCCGATGGTTGGGCCACGTGTTGCGCATGCCAGCACACCGACTCCCGCGACGTGCATTGTTTGCGCGCCGAGGGTGCGGTTGGAAGAGGAGGAGGGGAGGCCAAGCGATGACTTGGTCGAGAGAAATGAAAACCTTCACTTCGAAGTTGGCGTCGGTTGGTGCATCCCGACTGCCTGGCTGGGGTCCTAAGGACGATGAACACGTTTGGTTGGACACACTTGCTGATATGGCTAGGAGCCGGCCCCAATGGCGTTTGTGTTGTGAGTTCCTTTGTCCATCCCCTCCTGCTTAGCCTCCCCCTCCAATCAAGATCTCATTCGTTAGGCATAATATAACTCTTTTTGCGGCATGATAGCCAGCTGTTAGCCCATCGGAACGATGTCCATCCGTCAATGGGGACTCAGCCGGCGTACCTCGGTTGTTTTTTTCTTATTGTCTATTGTATTGCGGCACAATAGCTGAGGTGTTTTCCACCTGAAGCTAACGTGTACAATGATGATGATGATACTATGCAGCGAAAATTTATTAAGCAAAATTTGTAATATGCTAAGTAACGAGATCGCGATGGGAGTGGGAGGATCACAACAAGAACGTCACTGAATTCGGCTCCTAGCCATGTCAGCAAGTGCATCCAGCCAAACATGTCCGTTTTTCGGACCCCAACCTGGGAGCCAAGAGGCCTCAACCGAAGTCAACGTCGAATTAAGGACCTTCATTGCTCTCGACCAAGTCATCGCTTGGTCACCCGCTTCTTCCATCCGCATCCTCGGCGCGCAAACTACGCACGTCACAGGAATCAGTGGGCTGGCATGTGCAACACGTGGCCCAGCCATCGGAGCCTGGTGCGTGAACTAACGGTGTTGAGCGGTGCATTTATTTTCCCTGTGCCACAAACAAGGCGTGGAACACGTGCATTGCTTACGCGGTGTTCCCATCAGATGTGAGCCAAACTGCGAGCGCACCGGTGGTCGAAAGACTAAATGAGATTAAAAGTTAATTATTCATTTACAGGCGGATGTTTGTCTTGAGCTTCATCATTTGAAAAAGTCAGGACTAATAACTCAAATGGAATTCCTCTGTAGCTGTTCAAGTACGGTGACGAGGCAATCGTCAATCAACTAACAGCTCCATGCTCCAAGATCTATTGTGAATAAATGCTTCATTCACATTGGAACAACCTGATTATCGGTCACCGTACCTAATGCGCCAACCAAGAAGTAATCTGTCGAATGTCCGTCGCCTCCAAGTCATTGACATCTACGCTACTTCGTACCACCATCATTATCAGCAGCAGTACACCAGTCACTTGAATTGATATCTACGGAACGACAAATAATAAGCAGGAAAGGAGGGCGACCTAACGTGTTAACTTAATGTCCTAAGGAAACATTTAGGTTGAAAGCGCCTACCTCTTGTCAACAAGCTAGGGTAACAAACTGCTGGATATCCTACAAAAATAAGGCGGCATCGGCGAGACAGCTTCCTTTCGACTTTCACTGCCCCGCGTCATAATCAGCCATTACCCTGTAAATAACTTTAAATATTTCGTAGTGGCTCTCCGTAAAGCAAAAATTAAATCTGGGCCTCGATCGACATTCTACCGTTTAAAGAAACACGAACTCATTTTACATCTCGCATCAATTAGAGCCACTCAAAGATTAGCGCACTTCATCCGGTCGCTCTTCTAGTGGAATCCACTTGAGTTCTGCTCTGACCGGTCCACACCAACTATCCACTTGGTGTCATCGATTAGAGGTATATCAGTGCGGGCAAGCAAAAGATCGACATGGGGTCATTGCTGCTCGCTCGCTAGCTACCGCCACAAAACAGATAGTCCGAAGAGCAGACGGCAGCAGGCGCACCTCTGGTGCCGACTGACAGTCATGTCTTGTAGAGTCTAGAGCCAAACACTAGTGTGTCAAGTGGAACACAGTTCGGAAGGCGAGACGGACGAACAGCACTGTTTGTAGTCAGTGACTCCATTTCCCACTGCCAAGTCAACGTTTGCCATCTTCGAGTCTTGCGCCACTCTACATCTGGCAAACAAACAAGGCACTCCAAAGGCCGTTTGCTTTCAACATAGCAACTTTCCCTAGCCCTCTACTCGGACTAAGAGGATTGTAGCCAGTGGCAAAGGAAGCTGAATGATATTGTCTAAATGTTCAATGGCGTTACTACCGTGTATTCGTCTCTTGAAGCATAGTACACTGCTAGTTGTTATAAAGAGGCAACTTTATACAGCCCTGACTCTCAATATCCCGTACAAGACACTTCATCTGTTCGATCAACTTAGCTGTGTAGTGGTAGTTGTGGTCAAGTATCTAAACGATCGCGTATATCAAAACAAGATTCGCATGGTACTTCAACACTTGAGAAAGCTGTGGAGGAGGTAGGCTTTCAGATAGTCGATCAAGGGCAGACGCATAACGCGGTGGTGCAAGAAAAGTTGTGCTAACTTTAAACGGCCACAACTCGAGTTTGTGACCTTCACTGCGCTTGGACGTTTGGTTGTTCCACTCAGTTGGTTATTGAGATGTTGGTTTGCCCGTCGAGGTCGGCGATTAAACTGCAGACGTTTTGTCACTAATTGAAGCGACATCTTTAGTGCGTAGTGCTAGTCGATGTGGTAGCAGTAATAGCCTTGTAATAGCAAGAGCTGGGTTTCCTGCAAATCTAGATGATTCGTGTGAAACGCAGTTGCTGCTATCAAGGCTAACGCAACTATTACTACAGACACCACCACCAGTACGCATTAAAGATGTCTCCTTGATTGGAAACGAAACTTCCGCAATCAAATTGCTCAGCACAGTGAGAAAATCAACATCGCAATACCCAACCTGAGCTATCAATATTTCGACCCATTTCTACGTTTACATCGGTTTCAGTGTTCAGTAGAACGCATAGAAATTGTGAGTTAAATTAGTAATAACAGATAATTTGATTCACATGTGATTTGAAATAACCACTGTTGCCATTACCATAATTATTCGTGTTAGAGTAAGCTGAATTAAAACCGATGGAACAACACCTGAACAGACTAATCGTAAGTGACCAGCTTAACCTGAAAACGTTAACAAGTGTGAAAGTGCAATTTCCTTGCAATTCCAGTATTTGTCCAAGAATAAGTTACAAGTTGCAGATCTGCCAAGTCGCCTAACATAAACGGAATCCAGGAAGGACCAGTCAGATGATATCTCACCGTAGTGTTAGCATATACACCTACACAGACAGAAGACAGTGAATGCCAAAAAAACGGGCAAACATGTTGCGTATCAGAGACTACAGACGGGACCAGAACTGTGGTGGAACAGTAGAAATGACAGCATAAAGAACAGTATAAGCAAATGCATCACATGGGATACTTACTTGGGCGAATGGAACGGTTTGTTGCGTATCATAAAAAAGAAGACCATCTTCGAGCACCAGACAGAATAGCCAACGGTATGGAAGATCAAACAGGCTGTGAGGACGTGCAGACTCGGGATCCATCGCCGACGGCGAGACGCGAAGCTGAAAAGGCTGTGGACAAAATCGCACTGTAACGACGGGTCGAGGCCCCGTCGGTAAGCTCACGACTGGTTTGACGAAGTTGGTTCGAACAAAAACGTGAGCCGCGTGTTGCGGGGTAACTACGGGGAATTGAGCACTCGGAGCATTGGCATGGGGTGAAGGTCCGCTCGTGTTGCAAGCTAAGGATGCAACTGTCGTCACAGTGTCAGCGAAAGGTGCTTGCTCCAAGTTCCCCGAGGGGCACACAAGTAGTAGTCCATCAGGACTGAAAGCAAGCCGCCGGAAGAAAGATTTCCATGAATCATCCTGCCAATACAAAATGAGAGTAAATTTCAGTTTGCTGCAAGGGCGACAGAAATGGGCATACGAAGATAAACAAACAAGCGGCAACATCTAACACCATCGTCAGTTCAGCCCAAAAAGGTAACTGTGACAGTATTTCTGGCTAAAAACTCAACCAATGTGACGGTGAAAATGAAACACACAACAAAAGTAAAAACCATTTATTAGTCCACCACTTAACGATCAGAAAACCTGTTCAGAACAGAAGTTGAGATCGGTAGACAGAGTACCGTTTGGGGCAGTGCGTGTACGTAACACAGGGTACACATGGAGCAGGCGTTCGTTTTTGATGCGCACACTTGCATGAGGAAGAGCACGAAAAAGGGATGTACCAGACAAACGCTATCAGGGGATATCGCGGATAGTTGGAAGATGTCAGACACGATAACAGGTTTGTCCACCGTGAGTATGGGGTCTGCATGTATGGGTAGACATTTCAGTTCTTAAGTGTACGCGAAGGCCTGTGTGTTCCCGTCACAAATCGATGTGTTAAGTGAAAGAGAGGGCCGAAAAATTAATGTCAATCAACAACCGAAGAAACCACGGTGGTTATGCAAGCACCCGAATGTCGACGAACTAAGACGCGAGACAGTGGCATGCGAAATGGAGACAACACAACGAGGAGGCTGCGATAGGGGAAAACATCACAGAGCGCCTTGAAAATTCAAAATATAAAAAGAGGGCAAAAAGTTATGAATAAACGAAATGAACAAAGACCAAAAGATGGGAGGTCGGTTAAAAGGCAAGAAAAATGACCCGGTTACTTGGTCGTTTATCTTTGATTGATCATCAAGCGCAATAGTGGTTTGATAGACTTACTCATCATTCCGGTGTGATGGTGGCTGAAACCGGGGGCGAGGGCAATCGTCTGCCTCAGTGCAGTCGATCAGCCGATCGATCGAGTGGATGAATGAGTTTTTATACACCTAGTTAATTGTACATCACCTCAGACTCGTGAACAGAACGCTTGTGTACAGAGCCGGTGCGAGTTCTTTCTCTTGACGCGGCTGGGAGAACCAGGCACGCAACATAGTGACAGAGGAGAAGAAGCTGACGCGCCGGACCCCGCTCGCTTTTGGTGGACAGTCGTCGATTCCAATGCCGAGTGCTCTAGAGATGATGGAAAGCACGCTACCTGACAATTGGAAAGCGAACTGGATGGAATTCGCAGCGTTGATCCAGTTGGATGAATATCCGAAGTCATACCAGATGGCCATGTTCCGATACGCTGTCGGCCAGGAAGCGTGCCGTATAATGGGGGCGTGGAATTTCTATGACCATGGTGGAATGATGGATCTTTCCTAAATAATCGAGAGGTTTGAGAACTGTTGTGATGGCGCCGTTCTCGCTAGTTGAGGCCGGTTGGTCGATGCCTGTTCAGTGAACAGTGAATGTCAGCAAGCGACGAGCGATTCAACAATGAAGTACTCAGGCGGCCTTAACGAACAAGAGTGCGACTTTCCAACGCCGTTGATACAAAAACGACCAGCATCATCATAGCCTGATCTAAGAACCAGACAGCATGGTACCCTCGGAAAACCGCATCAGAATAGAGCGTAGTTCAGCACACAGTCGTTTCAAAGGGTCGGACGGACCGAGACTGCAGCCAAAAGGAAAAATTGTCGTAAAAATTGAAAATAAAGTAAGGAAACGATTTCTCAGTAACAAAGAGCCGAATGAGGATCCTCGCCTGATGATACTGGAAGGAAGAAAAGCGCCATCTACCGAGATCAGAACACGTTCGATTCAGCGTCTCTTCAATCGGCGAAGGAAGCTGATGATAGCAGCTAATGCTCTAATGCAGCCTAACCTTAATGCGACTGTCATGCCTTTAGAACGGAAGCTCGCCCGCAGTGGACAAGAATATGACAAATGTAACACAAAAACTGCGAAAAGAAAAAAATTAAAGGATGGTGGCTGAAACCGGGGGCGAGGACAATCGTCTGCCACAGTGCGGTCGATCAGGCGATCGATCGAGTGGATGAATTAGTTTTTATACACCTAGTTAATTGTACATTACCTCAGACTCGTGAATAGAACGCTTGTGTGCAGAGCCGGCGTAAGTTCTTTCTCATGACGCGGTTGGGAGAACTAGGCACGCAACACTAAGTGCATCCTACAGTTGCAGATCGGAAAATGTCATTCTGTGTAAGTAAACCTGAAAAAGTCTCGTTTGTTGCACTGGTGAAATGAATAAGCAACCCGGACAGCTAGAGGTATCATCATGGAATGAATGCCTAATTCCCCATTACATACCGGAACGTTTTGTACGACGTATCCAGGTATGTGTGGTCCGTAATAGAGACAGCGACCAATAATTTGTGCAGCGACAGAAGAGTGCACATAGAAGAGCAGTTGAACAAGCGTGGGGGGCGGGCACACCAGCTTGACTGTGAAGTGGTTATTCCGACGCACACACCGTGGGTTACCTAGTCGTCAACAGTTTCTAGGCATGGCGAAGAACGCGGTGAGCTAGGATAAGTTTCTTGGTCTCCATGATCCCAGTCAAGAACGCATCGAGTGCGCTGAGTAGCTAAAAAGCAACCAAAAACTGTGTTGCGTAGACTTCGATTGTCAGTCCCCAATGGTCACAGACATGCATCAAATGGCGTGCCATTTGGAGGTTTAAGTCTCTACGACCTGGGCTAGCAATAAAGTTCATACTACAAATGGCTGACGTAATATGATCATACGATCAATCTCTTTCAATCTTCAGGCGTCTGAGACGCTTTCTTTGCCTTCAGGTCACTTTTTGCTACTATGTACTTGATGCGATCTGAAGGTAAAGATCAATGAACCAGGTTTCACCGACAAATTGAAGAGGAACATGGCAGGGAGAAAAGTGCCAAGTTATAGCTAAAAGAGTGACTTGCCTGAAACAGACGTTGTTTATTCGCCTTGGAGACATGCGCCAGGCAATTGCGAGTGCCAGCTCGGTAGATGCGGCACGCACGATCACTACTAAGGCTGGCCATGTAAAAACCCAAAGGGTCCCAAGCCACCCCTTGGACGTAATGTTTGTGATCGCGGATAATCAGGCACTTGGTGTTCCCAGGTCCAACAGGTGGTGCCGAAGGACCGTCCACGGAAGCGTCCGCGGACGAACCAATCGAAGGTATAGTTCCTTCACCACCAACTGATTTTGTGGGGGATGAAGTCCTGACAACGGGAGCGAGGTTCAGTTGCCACACAATCACAGAGTGATCGACCGATCCGGATACTAGAGTTTGGTTATCAGGTGACCAACAAAGGTCGTAAATGTCCTCTAAATGACGCCTGGAAATAAGAAAGCAAGTTTGTATTAAATTACATGCATACGAAACTGCACGAAACGATGCTACTAATTATCAACCGAAGGAATGTAGTACAGTTGGATAAAAACCAAGAACAAATACTGAATACTGAAAATGGAGGGTTGATATGCCTTCGCCTGTGTTGCTCTATCGTAGTTAATTCAGGCACTGCGTGGAAGAACCTCACTGATTCCTGCGCGTTTGCAGCAGATTATATCTGCGCCGTATGCTATTCGGGTGCGACGCGCTCACGCATCCGAACTCCGCAAAGTGGACGTCTAGGAATTTCTTGAATTGCGACATCAATTTCGCCTAGACTGTTTTCTCGGGCAAACTGTTCTAGCATTTCACCACCCGATGTTCGAAGCATAGAGGGAGCAGAAATTGGCACAAGGCGTCAGCAGTATGCTAGCACCGCGTACCGACGTTTCATTGCCGCCAGACTACCAACAGGAAAGAGTGGACTGCGCATAATGCCAGGTGGCCCGCATCTACTCAAATTCCAACCATCAATATCATTGCCCTGCTCTTCATCATCATCACCAGCATTATCAAGATAGGTACATCAGCCTCAACCTTAATGTCCTAACATCACTTTCACGGTCAAGGCGCTTACACCTTATGTCAACAACATAACGTCACAAAGTGCTGGCGATCGCGCAAAAATAAGGCGGAATGGGCGAATCAGCTTTCTTGTGGCTTTCAAAGCTCCCCGCCATTACGCAGCAGACAACTCAGCATCAAACACGCTTTGAACAGCAATCTGGCTAGAAGACGACCGCAGACGTGTCACCACTGCTGACTGCGAGCCATGTGCAGTAACGACGCCTATCAAGCACAGGGCGGGTTGCATGGATCCCAACCTAGAAGACAGGACGGACCAATAACACCATTTTGTAGTTAGTGACCACATTTCCCGATGCCGAATCAATTTCTGTCCACCTCGAGCTTTGCGCCACTATACATCAGGCAAACTAAACTAGTCTTTCTTGGGTAAGCGGTGACCGAACATATGTAGTACATGCTCAAACGAATGCAATTATTCAGTGCTATCTGCTGTTCTAGGGAACTATCATTATCACTGCCTAGCATTCCCCTACGCACATCATCGTTGCGAACACGCTGGTGCTGTCCGACACCAGCAATGTTTTGCAGCCAGTGATGATCAAAGACTCGAAGGCGCCTTAGATTAAAAGGGGCATCACTCAGTGCTGTACAATAGGGCGGCCCTCACTGTGGCCTTGCACGCACGGCCCTTCAGATAAAAAGAAACCCAAGTATGCGCCACAGATATCGCAGATTCAACAAAACAGTTCTGGCCTTTGCAATATGTGAACTGACTCCAGTGCTTATGCGCCCATCGCTGATGATGCCACTTCAAATGTAAGCAAATGGATCAACTACCTCGTTACCAAGGGTGAGGGTCATCAAGTGGCTAGTGGTCCTGCAACAACACTTTGCACTTTGAAAGTGCGAAGTGCACGACAAACGATGGGATAACTCTAGTGGTTATTCAGGGTTCACTGGGCCGTCCAAAGATCGTTAAAGAGCAGAACGATATCGTCAAGATCAACAAGTATTCCACCAGGCAGCACCTCAACGACCGCTTCCTGGAATTACACAAGGGAAGATTCCATGATTCAATCCACGACGAAAGTAAACAAAATTGGGGAAATCGGACAATCTTGACGAACGGCACTTGTTTTCGGGAGGGTCTCCAACAAGTCACCGCAGATCGTGACGCGGCCTGTGATGTTGGAGTACAGGGTGCTTAAAATGTTTACTTATTTCCGAGCAAGTAATTCGAACAAAAGGGATCGATCGACTGAGTCCAGTAACATAGTTGCTGTTAGTCTGCCGGACGTGTGACGCTGCTCTAGACCCTGCCGCAGTGAATAGGTAGTTTATACGTGCCGCAGTGGTCGGAAAGCTGCCTGCTCTCCCATAATCCGGCACTACAGTTCCGCAGACAAGAAAGCAGGCTAGTAATTTAGTCACCAAAGGCCTTAGACTAGTAGCCCTATGGTTGGCAGATTCGGTGCGACTGACCTCATATTAACACTATGATCAATTTTCTCAAGTTATCGGGGTTTGTCTTTTCTTCACAGACGCGTTCGGACAGGTGAGCAAGTGCTTTGCAAAGGACCTCATCATCATCCTTAAATAGTGGGGGCTCAAACGATTAAGCGTATGGATCGTGTTTCAGACCTCTGTCTCCGATGGAGCCTCCAAAACTAACCCGCCATGACTCAGCCTGCATAACCTGAACAGGAGCAAGGGATCAACTAATTTGCTCTCGAAAGTGCCCCACGCAATGAACCAGCCGGCTCCACTTATGTTGAGTGGTGCTTGCGATATCTCTGAATGTCACCGACGCTGTTTACCAGAAAAACGACAACGTACCAAGACATGATCAGAGTCGACACAAATATTCCAAAACGAGCGACAATCCAGGATGCGACCACACCATATATACCTTTTGAAAACGAGATCAATTGGAGTCCATTGTTGGCCAGCTACAAAGGGACGCCAAACGTAATTTTAGCGTCTATTGTGGCCAAAAACAATGTTACTAAGAAGAAGTCGATGCTCCGTGCACAGTAGTTCACCGTTGTCCGTCTGGTCAGAATTAAGCCCATAATTACTAACTAATTAAGAAGGTCAGGCGACCTACTTGCGCATTCATTTCCCCCGCAACAACAACGATATCTAAACTGGTTACACTGCGAAGCAGCGTGTTCAGTTCGTGGTAGGTGTCTCTGGGAGGAACAGAACTGCAATCGGTGAGAGCAGAAGTGGAAACCACAAACAAGCAGCGTATAGTGCTACTTGGTGTAGCAACCTTACTTGATGTCCTCAAACAGACTGAACACAAACGGCTGTACACGGGGATCCAATCAACCGAAGATGACTCAACCTTGAAGCTGAGAATGATGCCCAACGCAGCTTGACGAGTGACTAGTGTATAGGCGTCACTGGAGGCGTGCAACCAATAGCGAGGTGTGTAGGTCAGTGACAGAATAGTGTCACGCAAATCAAAGATAGGAGGTATATGGGAACATCCAGAGTTTGTTTGAAAGCATTTCCTGATCCCAAAAACGATCAGTTGTTAATTCCCTGATGCACTGTGAAGCCGAGCAAGGAAATGTGGTGTTTTGACTTACAGATAAAACAAGAATGAGTAAAACACTAGAACAGTGAAAGGAAAATAGAAATTCATCACGGCAAAAGATAACGAAATAGCTAGACGGGGATTCAGTGATACAGAATGTTACGTGGTTTACGTCGATGTGACCTCAGGTCAACGGAAAGCCACCTTATGGGCGGCGTGAACGCAAAGACAATAAAGCGAATTCATCGATAAGTTGACATCACACCTCACGACACTTTCGGAAAGCGGAAAAGATGGTCGACAAACACCTGTTTAAAAACAATTCCCGTGCAAAGCACAGCAGTGGTAAAGTAGCCCACAAAATGCGATTACAGTTCAGAAGAAAACGAAGAAACATTACGTCAACTCAAAAAGCGCCAATGATAAGAACAGTAACGTCAGCTTCCAAGTGAGCTCATGAGATCGAGCAAACGGTGGCATCATAGTGAGAAGGAAGAACCGCTTTTAAAATGTTACACCCAAGGTTTAGGTAGAAGTGTCAGAATTGATCGGTTAGTCAATGACTTCAGTGACTAAATCCAGTAAAAAAAGGTCTGCGATTCTGCGCTTTACAACAAGCGAAGTACAAGTAATACGGGAAACTCCAGGGGCATCGATGGTTTGCGTGATCTCCCCCGGTCTTTAATCCAGTCTGTTCGATCGTTTCGTGTCTCTTTGGTCCTCCACTTCCGATGTAGCAACTGGCTCATACACAAACTCTCAAGGTATACGGGCGAGCTCCGTCACGCCCGTTCTCTAGGTGGCATTCACAATCTGCACTCGATGCGCCATCGCCGGAGGTAAACCGTCTAAAGACCGCCTCATCAGCAGTTGGTCCCTCAAGGAGTCGTCCTATCCGGGCAAGGCCAGATCCAGTGCGCCACTGCGGTGGACGGCGAGGACGAGGCAATCCATATCCTCTCCAAACCGGGACCCTTTGAACCGCGATCAGCGACCCCTTAGCGGCCGCCAACTCCAAATTGGTAAGATCCAATCGTGAGCCTCCAAGATCGTCTTCGCCCTTCCATTAAGAGGACCCAGAAAAACAGGAAGCCTCGTCCGCCCCGTCCTCACTACAACAGCATGTATGACGTCCTCAGAAATCTCCTACGTGACTACGCTTATACGGCTGCGGCCATGTTATCTTAATCCTCCTCCTCTTCGGGCTTACACCGGCATAAAAGAGATTGAGAACCCAATACGGTGCAGACATGTGGTTTACTGTGACAATGCGAGTCTATGTAGTACAGACGATCGAACACAATACAAAAGCGCTCAACTGCACGTTTAATCAATGGTGTTCCTCTAGTTTTCCACTCTGCTGTGCGTCTCCATCTACCGCGTCGCACGTGTTGTTGGGCGTGCACCCTACGTTGTGCATCCGTGGTGACCAATGATTTCCCCGACTGCATCACGCATGCACGTTCCCCCATGGTACACAGTAGTTGTGTACCACGATAACACACTACAAGTAGCGCTGATCATTTCGAACGATGTTTTCACCAGTCATCAGTCTTTAGCTACTTTTAAGAGCAATGGTCGGACATTGTCTCAAGTTGTTGAGAGAGATGTAAAGAAAGGTGTCTGACTAAATCATTATTTGTACACAAATTATGACAATACACGCATCAGTAATCAATAAGCTATCCGAGTGTGTCAACCAAGGTAAACGAAAGGCTTCAAACAAGTTCCACGTTGCGATACCATCTAGAATTAGACTCGTTCATTTGATTAGGTGATAGTTGGTGTCACGACAACTCAACTTGTCACTGGTGGCGTGTGAACTGACAGCTAATGTGGCTAGCAAGCAACCTTAAAGTTCCGCGGCTTTC